ACCAGTTTTTCAACAGTTTGTCCATGATGTTCATCACGCATATCTCCTTCTACATCGAGCTATGGCCTTACTCCCTCCGACTATGATACCAGATACTGAGCCGACCCCATTGCCGAGCACCGGAGTCTGGAACCAACCTGAAGGCTTCCAACCGGAATATTCTGATGCCACCAATGCCTTTCTCGACAATGTACACCTCCCGTCACCAGACCCTGAAGAAGAAGAAAACTATATGGACGACTTGACGCAGTACCATCTCCCTCGACCTCATCAACATCTCGCTGCTCCCCCACCGGATGCTCTTCCTGAACCACTCCGGCCAAGAAGAAGAATAAGCCCAAATCCACTCCGAAAGCTCCCGCCAAGCGAAAACGCCCTGCCACCAGATCACCATCGTGCTCACCCAGCCCTTTGCCCAACTGGACACAAGAAGAAAAGCAGAAGCTACGCACATTGAAATCCGATGAAAAGTCCAGATTTTCGTGGCGAGTGATCTCCAACAAGATGGGAAAATCTGAACAAGATGTTCCTCCATGTGGAACCAGATCTTGTCAAGATGCCTCTTATTCGGTGCACTTTCCGTCAAAAATTCAAAAAGAAAAAAGTCCGTCGCGGCACTTGTTATGGACAACGTTTCCGAGGTCATCTACTCTTGGACATTTATCTATTTACTATGATTAAGCCACCTTGCAGCTTGGTTCTTTTTACTATGTCTTTACGCTCCCACTTAGATCGCTATTGTTTGCGGCAAGCCATGGCACGAGACTCGATCTCACCTTCTACACGATCTAGATCTCCAACGAGGGCACCCACCTCATCGACTATTACCTCACCTTTTCACCGCCCACAAAGATTGAATCCCCCAGCCACGACACCTCATCGGGCCGTGATACTGAAAGTGGATTTGAAGCCCATGCAGCAACTTGCGGATAAAAATCCGTACTTCAACATCATGGCGCCCAAGGTTGCAGGCAACATCTCCACAGAAACGTACGAGAGCCTCTTTCAGACCTACAAGGTGATCTACCCAGACTACACGAGCCGCCATTTTGTCACGGACCTGAAGCCCTTGGTGATGGATACAATGTTACAACGCTGGTCAATCCATCTTCAGTCTACAGATTTCTACCTGATGATTGACACTGATCAAGGCACTCAAATTTTCGATAACCTACCGCACTCCTTCCTCGACATCCTCAATTGGTATTATCCAAATTGGCAAACCCACCAACACCTGGACGCTTTTACATCGCGCTCTTCGTCTACCCTTATGTTGACACCTCATCCTGATCCTTCTGATACAGGCTTATTGGTCCAGATCCAAAGCATCCCACGTGGACATCCTTTCTTCTCACCTACCAGATCGCCTACATTGTGAGACGGCTTATTTATTCTATGGCCAAAAGGAAAAAAGGCATTCTTACGCACCTCATGTCATGAAGTTGTTCTGTTGAATTTCGTTAGTTTGAATACTTTCGTCACTCAGTATGTTGTCCATGCACTTGATACATATTTACGTACTTTGGGCTTCACAAAGTCTCCTTTACCAAAATTTTCTTGAACATGGCGACCAACCTCTTCGGCGACTTCAACGAGTTCAGCGCCCAGGCAACTACAATTCCTACAACTATTCAGACCCAACACAATCAAATGGATGACTCCACTTCGCCCTCCTACATCCCACGTACGGCACGCACTGTTCCACACTCTACGACCGTCCACACCATTTTCATCAAGAAGATTACTTATCCAATGACGTCTCGACCGGATGAACTTTGGATCTTGGAACGAACAACCGAAGGGATGGAAACTTGGCGACCCATCGAGACCTTCCTCGAGAACCTACACCTCACACAGGATCCAAGAGCGCTCCGAGCTACAGCTAATCAATGGCGTCTCCACTATGACGTTCCTGCTATTTCTTCTTCAACACCTGCCTCTTCTTTATTTCCTGTTTGACCACATCCTGAACATTCGAATGTGCATTTTGGACAACCCGTTTCTGCCGTACCAGACCATACTTATATTCTCCAATCCTGCTGGGGACGATCCGCACAGCACCACTCTCAAGGCTCTCCTATTTCACTTTTTTGGCCACCATGGCGCTCTACTCGACCTTCTTCACCAGCCGGAACAACTCGGAGAGCTACGACACAACCAATGACTTCGGTGCCAACTTCCTATACACATGGACATCAGCAACCAGATCACAATGGTGTCACCGATATGTCCGACTCAAGTGTTTAAAACTTTCTGAACGGAAAAATAACGTTTCGGCTGCTTGACACCTCCCTTGTGGTTCCCGCAGTGAAGTGAATCTTTATTTTCGATTGCTAAAATCTTTATTTCGTGACCGCAGCTTTGGTTTATTTCGTAAACATTGACGCCATGGCCCCTAAAGTTTCCCGTCCACATCCATATCGTGCCACTTCGGACGTGGAAACTCTTTGTGGCATTCAACATGCTTCGTGGTTCGCGGGTCCAGGTTGTCTACCTGCTGGCATTCATCCACCTCCTGACCGACCCATTTTGATCATTGTGAACTATTCCCCGTTACAGGCACTGACCCATCCTAGTGAACGAGACCATGAATTATTCACTGCTTTGGCGAACCACAACTTCAGATTTACCTCTGATGGAGAACGGGAAGCATTATTCACCTGGGCTCGCCAAATTCTCCCTGATGAAGCCAACACCATACAATTTAGCCATCTTCGACCAGCACTGACAACTCGTCTTCGCACACAGTGGGACATCCACATGGTACCGTCCGATTTGGAATTTCGCTACGCGGACCTCGAAGGAGATTTTTCAAGTCCGTGAAGACTGGACCATTCTACACCTTCTTGAACAGTACCGACCTGAGTGGCGAACTAGACAGCACAATTATTTGGAATCCTCTTTATTAGTACCTGGCACTCATCAACCGTTTATTCTTCGACTGACTTGTCACAAAGTGCGTCAGGGAGTTATCTTCCCTTAGGCTTTTGCTCATGGAAGACGGCACGAGGAAAAAGTTAGCTTCCTTTCCAATGCGAACATCCTGATTGCCTCAGTGATACAGTGATAAACATACTTCTATTGATTTTGCACTCAGAATGTCTTCATTCCCTTTGTATACTGAACCTTTTGGTACTTCGTCACACTTCATGCGAACTTGTTCAAATGGTATTCTTCGTCTTTACCAGTTTGGCTCCAATTGATCGCTCCTTTGTATTACAGACCTACTCATGGAGAATAAACGTGATGCATCCTCTGCGGGACTGACTTGGCCTACGACCTCAACACGCAGCTCTCAAAACATGTCAACACCCGCAGAAAGTCCTGTTGTAACTTCTCCCTCCGCGTTGACCTCGATGCCTTCGGCACCTTTGGAAACTTTGACATCTACCAGCGGTACTGATACTTTGGCACCATCCGGTATGTACACAGCCGAACCTCATCCTCATGCTCCTTTTCCCGGACCTGATCCTCAACATCCGACGCCTCATCGACATCCTCGCTTCACCGAACGAGTTGTACATCAGATTCACTTCAAGATCTTCACACACTCCAACAATGAGCGCGAACTTTTCATTGAAGAAATATCCACTTCGGGAATTTCCAAGTGTCGAGATCCTGAACATTTTTTCTATGGTCTTTCAGGAAATTGGGAATGGTCGAAGCAAACTGCGGATTACTGGCGCCATCACTTTGAAACCCCCCTGCTACATGGAAACAATCCTTATCGGCACGCTGGTATTGAGATTATTCCATCTCCAGGCGGAGGAGGACATGTGGCAACTACCTCAAACTTGGCCAGGCAGTTATTGGAATCATTGACGGCAGCTAAGGCATCAGGGGAACTTCCCGCTTCATGGAGACTGGTGGCACACATGAGCTTTGCAGACGCGATCCAAGCTCTGCAGCAATACTCCAGTTCAGCTTCTGAATCTACCGGCTGAACCTTTTATGCGCAGATAGACTTACGGACTGAAGCCAGCTCATTTCACTGTATCGAAGGTATACAGAAATTCGCGCAGCAGATCACAGCCGCTATATTTCTTCCAAAAAGAACCCTGCTTCGGCAGGGTGTGTGTGTGTCACATCTGCATAGATGTAAAACTTCCTTTTGTATTTTATGTTAAGGCAGGGGGCCAGGAACCCATGACTGTCTGCCCTGGCCAACGAAGACCAGACAGCATGGGGGTGAAAGCGTACCTGAAATTTTCCAATTTACCGTCAATGGCAACCGGCTAAGCCAAGAACCGGCATGTGGTTTTATTCAACTTCAACTTTTCCAACTTCAACCTATTTTACATGGTTTTACACGGTCGCCGCAATCTGAACAATCCTTTTTGGAGTCTACTTTCATGATCGCCGATCCATCGCCGATATACTGACTGGGACACCTTCGCCGATTTCGTCGCCGACGACAACAATTTTGGTTTATTAACGGTCTTCATTTTATCTTATTCTTTGTGATGTCGATTCTGAACATGGTGATCATTCAGGAGAACCTCCATTATTCGTAGGAAGTGTCGTAGATTTAATTGTTTCCCATCTAATCTGCACGTTACAGGACTCAGTTCCTGCCGGATCACTACAATGATCCATTCTTATCTAGTGTGTGTCTGTGTTTTTTGGGAGGAACCACATGATGGGTGTCAAGAACCCAAACAGCTTTGAACAGTCTAAAGCCTTAAGTTGCATGTTTGAGAAAAAAGAAGGAAAAAAAGAACCACAACGCCAACCCATCTTGTAGGTGCTTGGAAGGAAACCTGTCATTTTGTAGGGGCATGATATGGCATGATGGGGACGTGGGAATAGACACACCACACAAATACTAAGTATGACTTTTGACTCATTTTTTTCAGTGCTTCTCGTGGGGTGTCTCTCCAGCTATGTGATTATATGCACAGGACATATTATTTACAAAAAAACGACAAACCATCTGCACAAAAACGCGCGCAAAAACACCATCCACGAAATGCCAACCGCAGCCATGACGAGGCCGGGGCAATGTTGATCGAGTCACCGTCTTCATACCAGGAAAATATGCGGAGGATGTGCGGGTGATCCAAATTCTGTAAAATCTTCGCCTCCCAATCCGCAGCAAACAAAGCAAGATACCAGCAGAGCGCAGCTGTCCCATGCACCGCCTCTAATTTCAGGCGTTCGTCATCCCATCCATCTGGCCGCACAACTGATTTGAGAACTTTGCTTTGCCCAGTAGCCTGACAGAGAAAGGCAAACCATCCAGGACACTGGTAATACCTTTCAAGGAGCTAATTCTGTCCTGGCGCCTTGTCTTGCACCTTGTGCACCATGCCATACGCCCCTTGACCAAGAAGTTCGCAATCTTCAAACTCCGAATCAGCCTTACAAAAGATGACATCCGAAACATGACAACCCCCCAATGGAGACAGCGGCCATCTAACATGAAACGTTCACGCGCAAGCTGGGGCCATGACATGACCCGCGTGCTCTGTTACCAAAGTGCTCCGCAACGTTGGTTGACCACACATGTCATTGACAGTCGTTTTTTTGGCTCCTGCAAAGTTCCGGGCAGCCGTCAAATTTCCCGAAAACAAAACCCGTACCGTTTTAGGCGGAGCCTCCCATAAATAGCCCTAAATGGAACTTATCAAAGGAAGTTTCATGGAGGAAACTGCGAGTTACGGACTTTCACATTCTCACTAGCACAGAGATCATTGTGCCCAGTTCGCATGTGCCTTAAGACATCACGAAGTCACATTCTCATTGGCCCAGAGATCATTGTGTCCAGTTGGCATGCGCCTGAAGAGATCATGAAGTCACATTCTCACATCATTGTGTCCAGTTGGCATGTGCCTGAAGAGATCATGAAGTCGCATTCTCACTAGCCCAGAGATCATTGTGTCCAGTTGGCATGTTTCTGAAGAGATCATGAAGTAACATTTTAAGTAGCCCAGAGATCATTGTGCCCAGTTGGCATGTGCCTGAAGAGATCATGAAGTCGCATTCTCACTAGCCCAGAGATCACTGTGTCCAGTTGGCATGTGCCTTAAGAGATCATGAAGCCACATTCTCACTAGCCCGGAGATCACAGTGTCTAGTTGGCGTGTTTCTGAAGAGATCATGAGGTCACATTCTAAGTAGCCCAGAGATCATTGTGTCCAGTTGGCATGTTTCTGAAGAGATCATGAAGTCACATTTTAAGTAGCCCAGAGATCATCGTGTCCATCTGGCGTGTGCCTCAAGAGATCATGAAGTTAGATTTTCATGAGCCCAGAGATCACTGTGTCCAGTGGGCATGTGTCTCGAGAGATCACGAAGTTAGATTTTCACTAACCCAGAGATCATTGTGTCCAGTGGGCATGTGCCTCAAGAGATCATGAACTTAGATTTTCACTAGCCCAGCGATCATTGTGGGCAGAAGAGGTAGAGTAGAGGTAGTAGAGGTAGACTAGAGGTAGAGGTAGAGTAGAGAAGACTAGAGAAGCGAAGAGCAGAGCTAGAAGTAGAGCAGAGCAGGAAGAGAAGCGTAGAGCAGACTAGCGTAGAGCAGAGTAGGGTAGAGACACTTTGTGCATTGGAACTGGTGCATCGCAGCGATGTGTTCTACAGTAGTGTGTTGCAATGCTATTGTCTTTTTCAAGTCCGTGTCTGCAAATCGCAATGGAATGGCTGCGCCAAAGTGTCTCGAAAGGTACTTGGTCTCCCGTAGCAAGTCATTCTTGGCAGATCGCATTGGAACTGTTACATCTCGGATGCGATTTGAATGTTAGGATTTGCGCGAAACATTGGGTTTTTTCGGGTAGACGGAAAGTCCGTTGCGCAGAAAAGTAGGCTCGCGCGCGCGATGGTCTTGGGCGTCGCTGCTTTGCCGCGGAATCTTGATCGAAATGCGCGCGCACTGGAACTGAGGGTTCCAGGTGACCTTTTCTCTTGTTTGTTGATGCCATGCTGCAGTGCTATTGTGTTTTGCATGTGTTGAGGTACTTTGTGCATTGGAACCGGTGCATCAAAGCGATGTGTTGTATTGTAGTGTGTTACAATGCTACGGTAGTTTCTATGTGTTGAGGTACTTTGTGCATTGGAACTGGCGCATGACAGCGATGCGTTTTACAGTAGTGTGTTGCAATTCTATTGTCTTTCTCAAGTCCGTGTCGGAAGATCGCAATGGAATGGCTGCGCCAACGTGTCTCGACAGGTACTTGGTCTCCAGTAGTGTCTTGCGATTGTATTTTGTTTTGCAAGTCATTCTTGGCAGATCGCATTGGAACTGTTACATCTCGGATGCGATTTGAATATTAGGATTTGCACGAAACATTGGGTTTTTTCGGGTAGACGGAAAGTCCGTTGCGCAGAAAAGTAGGCTCGCGCGCGCGATGGTCTTGGGCGTCGCTGCTTTGCCGTGGAATCTTGATCGAAATGCGCGCGCACTGGAGCTGAGGGTTCCAGGTGACCTTTTCTCTTGTTTGTTGATGCCATGCTGCAGCGCTATTGTGTTTTGCATGTGTTGAGGTACTTTGTGCATTGGAACCGGTGCATCAAAGCGATGTGTTGTATTGTAGTGTGTTGCAATGCTACGGTAGTTTCTATGTGTTGAGGTACTTTGTGCATTGGAACTGGCGCATGACAGCGATGCATTTTACAGTAGTGTGTTGCAATTCTATTGTCTTTCTCAAGTCCGTGTCGGAAGATCGCAATGGAATGGCTGCGCCAACGTGTCTCGACAGGTACTTGGTCTCCAGTAGTGTCTTGGCAGATCGCATTGGAACTGCTTACATCATGAATGCGACTTGAATGTTAGGATTTGCACGAAAGATTGTGTTTTTACGGGAAAACGGAGGTTCCGTTGCGCTATTGTGTTTTGCATGTGTTCACACACTTTGTGCATTGGAACTGGTGCATCAAAGCGATGTGTTGTATTGTAGTGTGTGGCAATGCTACGGTAGTTTCTATGTGTTGAGGTACTTTGTGCATTGGAACTGGCGCATGACAGCGATGCGTTTTACAGTAGTGTGTTGCAATTCTATTGTCTTTCTCAAGTCCGTGTCGGAAGATCGCAATGGAATGGCTGCGCCAACGTGTCTCGACAGGTACTTGGTCTCCAGTAGTGTCTTGCGATTGTATTTTGTTTTGCAAATCGTTCTTGGCAGATCGCATTGGACCTGCTTCACCATGGATGTGAATTGAATGCTAGGATTTGCGCGAGACATTGTTTTTTTCGGGTAGACAGAGGTACCGTGGCGGAGAAAAGTAGGCTCGCGCGCGCGAAGGTCTTAGGCGTCGCCGCTTTGCCGTGGAATCTTGCTCGAAATGCGCGCGCAATGTAACTGAGGGTTCCAGGTGACCTTTTCTCTTCTTTGCTGATGCTGTGCTATTGTGTTTTGCATGTGTTGACACACTTTGTGCATTGGAACTGGTGCATCAAGGCAATGTGTTGTACTGTAGTGTGTTGCAATGCTATGGTAGTTTGCATGTGTTGAGGTACTTTGTGCATTGGAACTGGCGCATCACAGCGATGTGTTTTACAGTAGTTTGTTGCAATTCTATTGTCTTTTTCAAGTCCGTGTCTGGAGATCGCAATGGCGTGGCTGCCTCAAGGTGTCTCGAAAGGTACTTAGTCTCCACTAGTGTCTTGCGATTGTATTGCGTTTTGCAAGTCATTCTTATTCTTGGCAGATCGCATTGGAACTGCTTCATCATGGATGCGATTTGAATGTTAGGATTTGCACGAAACATTGTTTTGACGGGTAAACGGAGGTTCCGTTGCGGAGAAAAGTAGGCTCGCGCGCGCGAAGGTCTTAGGCGTCGCTGCTTTGCTGTGGAATCTTGCTCGAAATGCGCGCGACATGTAACTGAGGGTTCCAGGTGACCTTTTCTCTTCTTTGCTGATGCTGTGCTATTGTGTTTTGCATGTGTTGACACACTTTGTGCATTGGAACTGGTGCATCAAAACGATGTGTTCTACAGTTCCGCTTGGGTGTCGAGATCCATCCGGTTTTGGAGCTGCAATTTGTGTACCCGTTGCGCGTCATTCTACTTTGCGTTTTGCAACTCAGTCTCTGGAGAATGCAGTGGAATGGCTGCGTCCAAGTTCCTGGCTGCTGCGGCTGCGTGCAGAATACTTTTAATGTCTGCGAATGGTGCTTTGGCAGCAGATAGTTTTCAATTTTGGCGCATCCTGTGTAGCAGCTTCTCTGTGTAAATGCTTGCTGTGTGTAAAAGCTTCTCTGTGCAAAAGCTTGCTTTGTGCAAAAGCTTCTCTGTGTAAAAGCTTGCTGTGTGAAAAAGCTTCTCCGTGCAAAAGCTTGCTTTGTGTAAAAGCTTCTCCGTGTAAAAGCTTCTCTGTGCAATAGCGTTCTTTGTGCAAAAGCTTCTCTGTGTAATAGCTTGCTGTGTGTAAAGGCTTCTCTGTGCAAAGGCTTCTCTGTGCAAAAGCTTCTCTGTGTAAGAGCCTGCTTTGTGTAAAAGCTTCTCTGTGCAAGGGATTCTCTGTGCAAAAGCTTGCTCTGTGAAAAAGCTTGCAATGTGTAAAATGTTCTCTGTGCAAGAGCTTCCCTGTGTAAACGTTGCTGTGTCAGCTTGCTGTGTGTAAAAGCGTGCTTTGTGTAAAAGCTTCTCTGTGTAAGAGCTTCTCTGTGCAAATGCTTGCTTTGTGAAAAAGCTGGCTCTGTGTAAAATCTTCTCTGTGTAAAAGCTTCTCTTTGTGTAAGAGATTAATGTGAAGCTTCTCTGTTTAAAATTTTGCTGCGTGTAACAGCTTGCTTTGTCATGTACAAGCTTCTCTGTGTAAAAGCTTGCTCTGTGAAAAAAGCTTGCTCTGTGTACAAGCTTCTCTATGTAAAAGCTTCTCTGTGTGAAAGCTTGCTGTGTGTAAAAGCTTCTTTGTGCAAAAGTTTGCTGCGTGTAAAAGTTTGCTGTGTGTAAAAGCTTCTGTGTGTGAGAGCTTCTCTGTGTAAGAGCTTGCTGTGTGTAAATGCTTCTCCGTGGAAAAGCTTGCTCTGTGTGTAAGCATCTCCGTGACAGAAGGGCCAAGGTGAGAAGAGTTGAGATAATCTGAGAAAGAGGTGAGATGAGTTGAGCGGAGGTGAAAGAGGTGGGAGGAGCTGAAGAGGTGGCAAGAGGTGAGAAGAGTTGAGACGAGTTGAGAAGAGTGCAGAAGAGTTGAGACGGGGTGGGCAGAGGTGAGAGTCGTTGAGAAGAGTTGAGAAGAGCAGGGAAAAGGTGAAAAGAGTTGAGCTGAGGTGGGAAGAGATGGAACAACTTGGAGAGCTGTTGAAAAGAGTTGCGAATTTGAGAAGAGCTGAGATGGTCTGAGAAGAGTTGAGATGTGGTGGTCACAATTGAAAAGGGGTGAGGCAAAACGACGACGAATTCACAGAACAGAATTGAGAAGCTGTGAGGGTCCGCTGCATCTCCTATAGGCAAACCTCGTCTTTGGATCCTATAGCGTCACAGTTCTTAAACCTGGCAACTTCCGCCACCCGCCTTGCGCGGGTTCTACTTGTATTGAGGGTAGGTAACTTAGATTTTCTCAAAACCCAAAGAACCAATACCTTCAAACATGTAACTTACATTTAGGGTAGGGCCCTCTGAAATTTGGAGGGGCCTGAAAAAGGTAATATCACATTTAGAATGCTTTTTCCTAAATGTAAGTTACGTTTTGGAAGGTGCCGTTTTTGTGGAATAGTCTTCAATTTTAAGAAAAGATTCTGGCAATGGTGTTGGGTGGTTGGCCATCAAACATGTAAGTTGGTGGTCTCAAGGTCTTGTGTTGCATTTTTGGTCCCTGGGTACCTTGAAGATGCTGAAAATGTGACTTGGTGACCTTGAGGTCCTGTTTTCAATGAAAAATGGTGGTGTCCACTTTCTTGTGTGCAGTTTTGGCAGCAATCATGTTGAGCGGTGGGCCATGGAACATGTAACATGTATATAAGTTGGTCTTGTTTGCCCTGACAAAATGCAAGTGCTTGGAACCTCCCCCAAGGGACCTTACATTTTTTGTGTTTTAGAAGCTGAAAGTTTTGGGGTTCTGGATGGATGGTCTTGGAGGTGCGATTGTACTGATTCTTGTGGTTTCCCATTTCTTTTGCGCGCGTTTTGCAGCAATGGTTTTGGGTGGCGGGCCATGGAACATGTAAGTTGGTGGTCTTGACATCTTGTTCTTGAAAAGCGCAGGTGCTTGAAACCTTCCAAAAGGGATCTTGCAGTTTTGTTTCCTAGGATTCCCCAGGTACCTTGAATATGTTGAAGGATTTGGGCTGCCCGTGCTTCGTTCTGGCTGCCTGTGCTTCCCGACAATGGGGTGCTGAAGGTTTGGAAGGGTTCAAAATGAAGCATCAAGCCACGCCCGGAAAAGAAAACTTGTGTGGCCAGCCATTTGTGTGGCCAGCCAAATGTGGTGAGGTGCCAAAAAGGGGGGGCAGAAAAATGTAAGTTACCACTTGTTGGCTCACAACGTGCTTGGTGTATTTCTAGGGGATGCCCTGAATATTCTTTGACCGGGGCCATGCTTAGGAGGGTCGGAACTTACATGTTTATCTTTTATATTCTTTTACATTACATATTTTTTGCTACCGCAATGAACCCTCTCCAAAAAAAATGGCCCGGTAAATGTAAGTTACATTTTGTCAGGCGTCCCCACAAAAAAAAAACAAACTAGGCTAAGGGGTAAGGAAAAACAAAACTTTTGCTGCAACAACCCGCTATGCATGATATGGGTCTGGACCTGTTGGTTTCCAACGTCTTTGGGGCCTGCTGGTTTCAATCGGCTTTGCGCCTGGCGCCGTTCGCCTTGCGAACTGCATCCGCACGAAGCCAAAAAAAAGAATTGCCGCCAGATCCCGTTTTCTCAGACAGTATATATAATGTCAATACATCGTGGACTAAGGACTGCAATGCTGGCAGGTGCATTCGGTGGATGCCTGCAACCAGCATGGTTGCTGCACTTCTTCTGCCCAAAAATATGAAACAACTACGCCCCAACCTTGTGATGCATGATCCAACACACTGGCCCCCTTGTCAAATTGTCACGCCGCCCTTCCACACGCCAGTCCTTTAAACATTTTGGGATGCGCGGGGGGGCTTCCCAATGGACTCTTGGAGCGAAAGAGCCCAACATTAACACCATCATCCTGATCCTTGAATATCAAACGCGACGGCATGCAACACATGGAAGGGAGGATTGGCGCATAGTGAAAATGCGTTTTTGAATATGTTTCATCATGTTTAAAAAATGCCCGCCCGCACTGCTGATCGAGTAAGCGGGTCTTGTGTTTGATTTGAAACGTGATGATGATGATCATGTCATTGCCTTGAAGCGAACCTGGGAAAACGTCCTGGCGGTAGAATGTGAATCAAGCGAGATATGAAAAATGTGTGAGGGAAGAATTGAAGGTTGAGGTAGTCGAGGCCTGGTTAATTCCTAAGAAACATGACGAGAAGACAACGATGACAAGATCAGATAAATCAACATGAATTCGGCTTGGGGGTTCTTGGGTTTAGCTTATTCCCATCACGGCAAATTGGAAAACGGCAGGTACATGCAGACGTTTTCGCAGCAACTTGGACGGGCCTTCGTTGGCCCATGCCATGCCATTCAAGTTCCCATGGGCATTTTGAAACAAAATTGATCAAAATTGGATCAGCGGCACTCCTTCTCTTTTTGATCCTGCTTCTTTGGTTTGGTGAGAATTCTGACACGGTCGATCTTTACCCCGGAAAGACACCCATAGCTTGAAGCACTTCCTGCTTAGACCCGTCTCCTATGTCATAGAGGTAGGTGCTTGCGGAAGCTTCTTGACGGTACACCTCCATGACTTTCGTTGAAGCCCACCTGAAGCGGCATAGACTGATAGTGCTCAACAGGCTCACATGATCACCGCATGAAGCCAAGTCCCAAGCATGACTAAGTGATCTGCGCAACACAAGCTGTGCGTAGGCACAGCATTAAGCGTTTCGCTGTAATGACTGTAGTGCTTGCTTTGTTCAAAAAGATGTCTGCCAAAGTTTGCCAGGAGTGAATTGATCTCGTCGAGGCCCGGTGGGTTGCCCCAGACCAACTCCTGAAATGGTGTTCCAGCCGCTAACAGCCGTGGGCCGAGCACGAAAAGATGCCGTTTGCTCCGGCACCCGCAGGCAATTCCATTCCAGCTCGAGATCCCTGACGTCTCAAGCCACCATGGCTAGGGGCTGCCACTACTAATGGAATCCACCGCGTCATTAGATGCTGCAGAAAATACAAGGAAGCCGCAAGAAAGCGCAAAGCCTTGTCAAAATCCATGGAGGAGAGCGGCCCAAGCGCAATGGAGAAGCGAATGAAGATCAAATTTGAAGTTCATCGCCTGAATCCTCGAAGAGTGGAGAACCACATGATCTCTTGAGCTGTCTCTGGGGAAAGGCTGCGGGTTGGGGCAAGAATGTCGGAGTCTCTCGTGGGGTGGTCTGGCGTAAACCTCCCCGCATGATAAAATCCAATAGCAATGCTGAGAGAGCAGAGAGCAACCTGGAATACAAGTTGACAAATTTCACGTCTCCTCCATTCTTTGCTTCCTCCTCAAACTCTCTCAGACCTGATGCAGCCGCCACCAAATTTATATGGTTTGCGCCCTTCCCATTGCAGGCTGGTAGAAAGATCAGTAGACATAATATCATATTATATCCTCAAGCCCTCTTTGTCATCAAAGAAAGATTTTCTCAAGAGGCCTCAAATGATCTCCCAAACGCTCTAGCAAGCTCTGCCGCCTGGCCCTCATGTAGGTGGCGCTGGCCTTGGTATAACGCCTTCCAACTCTCACATGGAAATGCTTCTTGGGGCATTTCCTGTGAAGATGATCAAGCTCTATATTCACGTTCATGACGGCAAGCTCCTTTTGGTGAGGGCACCCATAGGCACACCGACGCTACACCGGTGTCCATCTCAACTTGGACCTTCTCGTGGTCTCCGTCATTCCAAAAACATCCATCCTGAAGGCAGCAGTCATCAGTCCCAGACTAGCAAAAGCAAGCTGATTCTTATGCAGCGCTCGAGGGCGCGGCCTGTCAAAACCCAAAGGAATCAAGTAGCTGCTCAAGCACAAGTGAGCTGCTGGGCAAAACCTTGCACATGGTGTTGCTGCCAGTAAATTGCGAAACCTATTTCCATCATTTGACATAGCCATGAGAAGACTCTGCAATTCCTCGAATCATACTGCCTGCTCTCGGAGAGGTCTCGGAGGGCTGCAAGCAACTCCCAAAGCCAGCAATTGCTTCGTCACAATGCCTGCTCCGCCAAAGACTTCAACAAATTTAAAACAAGCAAATGCACCTCTCTTCCTTCTCCTCCGTAGACCGTAGAAAAAATCATCAGCGAACGCGAAAGCTTCAGCATGGAAAGTGTGAAGAGCCGCCGTCTTGGTATTTTGATGTATTTTGGAGGTTTCCTCAGGGAGCGATGCACGAACATAGCCTTCCTTCCTCAAAGATGCACCTGGCGCATATGCAAAGGGCACTGCAATGCTGCTGGCCGTAAAAGGAGCGACCGCCGCAAGGATGAAAAGCTCCTTCGCCGCTGTGGCCTCCCCATGTTCAAGTCTCGGGCGCGATCACTTTGAAAAGCTCATTCACATGCGCCATCAAGACTCGCCGGAACATGGGCACCGAAATCCAGGATCCCATCAGGGTAGCATGCAGAGCATCAGAGGTGTAAGGCAAGCCTGATGCAACCGGTTGAAAAGTGGAGCGCCGGGACTAACAGTGCCCTTGTCAATCAAGTCTATGGAAGAATTGATTTCTGCCCCGAAAGCCTTGAAAACAAGAACATCACTCATCACGCACCTCTTTGTCAGACCGTTCTATTCTCTCTGCCTCATAAACCTTCTTAGCCTTGTCCAAAAGGAGGCTAGATTTTCCTGGCACCAGCCACCTGTCATGAGATCGCCACCCTCTCCTCAACACTGATAATGAAAAATCATCCATCATGCCATTGGCGGGGTCATGGTGAAGCATTGCTTCATTAAACTGCAACATGCTATGGGGGTCCCGGCAGCCTCGCTCAAGGCTCGGAAACAAGCAATCGCTTACCCTTCTGCTATTGTCCCTCGAAAAAAGCTTGGGGTCTGCCCAGAACAAAGCCAAGATGTGCCTACCCAAATCTAAGAGACATGAAGGCGAACGCCGCACCACGTCGAAATCGACGGGGCGAGGACCATGCGGAATCTTGCTGACAGCAGGAATGTCGTAGTGAAAGGCTCCAACCAGGGCATCTGCCTGCACATTTCCAAAAACTGCAATGATAGTAAGGCGATCTGGGCTAACTCTTCTGCTCCATCTCTTTCCCCCACCATGAAATAGCTCTTCTACCCATCAAGGTATCCTGATGCTTGCAATTCGGTACCGCTCCAAAGCGCCGGACCGTAGATTGATCACTGAGCCGAGCTCCATTTGAACACTGCGAGGCAGTAATCCTTAGTTTCTGGCTTCGAAGCGAAGCCGTCCTTGGCAGATTTCCTTCAAGGTTGCGACGCCCTCCACAAGCGGCAAATTGGTTGAGCCGGTTGTGCTGATCTTGTTCTCCAAAGCCAACTTTGCCCGGCACTGGCAGTCCAAGCTCGCTGAACCTCTTTTGACAACTGGTTCAAAAGCAGCTGGAGGGCACGCTGGGAATTTGCCAGCTCCCCCCCCGCGTTCTCTGTCAGTGCAAAGGATCTCTTGTGGGCTCAGAAGATGCCAAACACAAGAAGATAGGCGAGCTCTCTTCGTCGTGGCCAAGGCGATGACCCGGGACCCCAAGCTCAACACTCTATCCTGGAGATCAGAAAATTGGCGCCGCAGACGCTCAAGCTCCTTATCGCTCATGCAAGCAAGTTTTCCGCCTTGATCCGCTTCTCAGCACGGGGTTCGGGAATTGAACCACAAACGGTTCAGGATGATGAAAATGCAAAAAGCAAACCAAAATCCAATAAACCCTGAGAAATCCAAGAAGCAACCCCGAAGAGGGGCCCAAGACAGCCCAGGCAAGGAGCGCAAGGAAGATGACGGTGGGTGAGGATGGATCACAATGACCCGGGCAACTTTGGCCTCACCCTAACTAGAATCGAGGTGGAGGTCATCAACAGCTTGAAAAGAAACAGGAGAGCCAATCCAACGAATTTCTGCTGTGCATGGAAACTGGTTGGTTCTGTCTCTCTCTCTCACACACACGCACGCACAGGCACATGCCGTTTATGCAAAAGGCGACAAAATTCCTCATGATCCGAATGAACAGGCGCACATAGGCGCACATGTTGTCTCGGTCAGTCTTAGTCTGAGCCAAACATTGTCACACTTGGACGCAGTGGGTGACAGTGATCTCTGGTGCCGGAAGTATGGTGCAATCAAATCAAAACCACAGCAATTGCCTACATCCGCCTTCTGGTCCGTGCGGTGCAGTGCTTGAAGAACATTGCTTGATTTCGTGAAGTTCCAGTGGTGGGCGCAAGTTTCCCGTTTTCCATACCGAACACTATCAACATATCATAAGCATGCGTAGTTGGCATGGTGATTTCGTTGCTACCACCATTGTGACCCCGCATCCTGCCCAACAAATTCACCAATGTCTGTGGTTTCAGTTCACCTTCAACCTTCAAAAGTACCTCCTTTGAAAGTTGCTCAGTGAGAATGCAAAGGCTCTGATGCGATCCACGTAACACAGTACATACACTTCTTTAGAAAAGTGCCCGTACAGGTTTGGGACAGTCTTGCATGGTTCAAATTCCGGTGGGCCGTCGCCTTCGCAAAATGAATAGGGGAGCAGGGGGTTGCTTCAGCCCGTACATTGCTTGCTTGAATGGCCAAAGCCAGTTGGTTATTCTCAGGGTGGAACTCAGCCATTGGTGCATGCAAGAATGCAGTTGATATGTCATATGTTATCACAGTCTGACATTTTGGCAGTGGCAGCAAGACAATAACGCGAAGAGTGACAAGAGTAGGCGTTGATGCGATGGTGTCGTCAGTATCCCTTCCTTGTTGGAAACATCCGCGCGAGACAAGGCGACAACGTACTTTACACGGCGTTCCCCCCTGCTTCCCACAAGTGCAACCGAAAGCATTGCAAGGTAGTCTCGCCGACAATGTTCGTTTGGAATCTCG